CGTATAAAAAAAAATCATTAATAAATTGTGTAACGATCTACAAACTCGGGGCACTCGGGACGTTCCTACCTCGAGATTTAAGATACCCGAATGAACCAAAAAATTTTCCGGCACGCGAATTTAGCCAATTAGATAAAAGAATCAGGTGTAACATGAAAATCACGTCTTTTTAAAAAAATCGCTAATAACTCGAAATTTTGACTATGTAACTGCCTTCTGCGTTCTAACAAAAAAAAAATTCCTTGTGAAATTTGGTATAAGCTATGTTTTTTCTTGGCCTTATTCCTAACCCTAAAGGAGAAGCTTATTACTTTAAAATCTTTCGCTTAATTCGATTGTTTTGATTTTTACGATCCTTCGATTTAATTGGCGTTCCGGAAAATTTTTGTGGGTAAGTTACCAGACTCGTGTCCGGAGACTTTTCCCTTAATGGACAACCCAAAACGGATCGCACATGAATAATTGAAAAGATTCACTGGCGGTTTGCCGATCAAATGTTTCAATTCTTATAAAATAAACATAATGCACAAAATGATTGGTTTTTTAATAAACGATTGAGGTAAAGATATTTATATTAAACTATGTTGTAAAAATATTTCTAAAATTTGACAATCTTTTTAAATGCTGGTGTTCCGAGTGTCGGTCGACGCCATGTTTTAAGATTATCATTCTTGATAACGTCTTCATTCTTATTTATGTCTAAAAGAAATTCCTTAACTGTTCGTTCATATGCCAACTAGAAGAACCATTTGAAATTAATTTATACAGAATAACAAGTAATGCAGAATTAAAAATTTTTACTAGTTATACCTCGAATGAACGTAATGTATCTAATCCATTTAAAAACGTATAACATGTTTCGAAAGACCTTGGCAGCTCTACGCTGCCATAATATATACTCCAGGAGAAATTAAGGTCATTAAAAAACCGGTCCACCTTGTCACTATTTATTACATAGAGGTTATTAATTGGAAAAATAAATAAAGTTCTTAGGAAACAAACTTACCAATGACTTGCCAAGCAAAAACGCGATTAACAACAGTTTTTTGCAAACTAAGATCCAACGAATCCTTCATAAATGATCCTAACCTAATCAGATCGATTAGGTTTTTCTTTTCGGTGTTGTTCTTACCCTCACCAGTCACTTCTCCGAACATGGCCTCATGAGCAAACTTTCCTATTTATATTAGGAAAAGAATTAGAAATTGGTTCTTATTTGCGTTTACTTTTTATTTTATGTTTTTTATAAATACCATTAACGGCAATCTTCCCAATCATATCGGGCTGTTTGGCCCGAGAAGGATCACCAACAGCGAGCTTTCTGACCTTTGCGCTGGTGCTAGATGTGTTCGGCCATATTGTCGGATATATGTAAGGATCATGAAAAAAAATTCGTAACACTGGACTTATTAAATTTGCGATCAAAGTTCCTTCGCTGATTTTTTCCCTTAATGAATTTATTGGGATAGTGTAAGACCTACAAAGCAATTATCAGAAAAATCTTATTAATACAGTCAAT